CCTGGGAGGGAGCTTTACTGTTTCCATGGGCACCTCAAGAAGACAGTAAGGGATCTGCAGCAGTGTTTGACGTGAGATGTGAAGTCTTGAAGGAATCTTTTCACAAAGATGTCTGTGTTTGCCTGTTAAACGTAGCAATCGGTTACTAAACAAGTATTGCTATCTTTACCTTTTAGATTTGTTTATTTTTTTCCATTGGATCACAGTTTTTTAATTTATGTTGAATTTAAAATGTATTTTTAAATTAAATTAAAAAATAAAATACAATTTCAAAAAATCTAAAAATATATTTTGAAAAAAAAAAGAAAGAAAGCGGGCCGGACGAAAGTCACCCATGGGCCGGATGTCATCCGTGGGCCACCAGTTGAGTAGCCCTGCTGTAGTGTTATAACTGAACTGAGACTGACCTGAAACAGGGATTTTGAGCGCTAACAGCAGTAGCAGCTCCTGAGCATGAATATSAGTGAGGCAGACATTCACTTCCTGTATCGTTAACCACAAAAAATATATATGTTTCAAAAACACAGGATATATGTTATCCAATATTTATTTGTAGTGCTTTTTTTTTGCACAAAGGAGTCATATTTTTCTCTGCAGCCCCATGCTGTCCCACATCACAGAATTTGACAAATACGACCCATTTACTTTTAAAATTGTCCAAATAGTTGAAAATTACAGAAGAAAACAAAAAAAGCACAGTTTGTTTGTTTGTTTGTTTCAATCATGAATTGAAATATGAGTACAAAACAGCAAGTCATCCAATAATAAAAACAAAAATCCAATAATAAAAAAGATGTAACAAAACAGTAAAAAATAGAAAAAAATAAAAGTAAGTCATCCAATAAAAATATATTATAAAAAAGAAATGAAAAATAAAAGTAATAACAAGTAATACAAATAAAATTTATAAAAGTAATATCAGTAAATACATAACTGACATTGTTTAATAGGAGAAGCACTTTGTGGGGCGAGTGCTTTAATTTTTGGTGGAGCTGCTGCACCTGACTAACAGGTTGTTCAAAAAAAGTTTCAGGAAATAGTCATTGAATCTCCAATTTACAACTGATTACCTTTTTAGAGACAAAGCAAATCACAATTTCTGCAGCTGACTGAACCGAAAAACACAGAAATGACTTTGATTCAGTCAAATTGACAGATATTGTGTTAAAAGTTGTTGTGGTTGAGTCATTCACAGCWCATACGTCGACAACAAGCCATATGTTAGCAAAATATTTCAAACCAAAAAATCGATTCACATCAGAGTCYTAATTCTCGTTCACAAAGATTCAATATCAATTTAAAATGTCCCAAAATCGATTTAAAAATTAAATAAAATAAGCAAATCCAATGTCAGCCTCCATTTTGTAACTACAGTACATGACGTCCTCATGCAGCTGGTTGTGGAACATATGATTCAGCAGAAAGCACCAAAACAAAGAGTAAAAAAACTGGAGGAAAGAGAGATTCAACTGGCCCCATTTTCATACAGTGCAAAGATTTGGGCTCATTTTGGTTTTTACTGAATGAGTCTGAGTTTGACGTGAGCTTCACTGTGTGCAAGGTTTGCAAAATGAAGATGAAGCACTTTGGGAGCATGACGAATGGGCTCACATTATCTGGTCTGAAAGAAAAATCGATTTTGAATCGAATCGTGGCGCCAAAAATCAGAATTGAATTGTGAGATATAAGATTACCACCCCTTAAGACTAATATACAGTGGTTTGCAAAAGTATTCATACCCCTTGAACTTTTCCATATTTTGTCACATTACAACCACAAACATAAATATATTTCACTGGAATTTAATGTGAAAGACCAACACAAAGTGGTATACAATTGTGAAGTGGAAGCAAAATTATTCAGCCCCCCTGAGTCAATACTT